CAGGAGGTACATGCTAGAGGCAAAACTTAAGCTGTTAGGTAGGAGACATTCCTGTTGCCATGAGCATGTCCAAACATAGAAGTAGAGGGGTAGATTGTATGTGACCAGAAAGAAAGCACAGATAAGATAGGGCAGCACTGTGGAAACTTTTGAAATACAAAGGATCTGTATAAGAGGACCTGGGTTCATACAAACCCAGTTAGGGCAAAGCTTCTGGTACTTTAAACTGCAGACGAAGACGAAGGTAGTAATTGCACTGGGATCGGAAAATGAATGAAAATGGGCTGTGGCATACCCCAAGCCACTAGAAAATTATCATCTAGGAGTTCATGAAGAACTGCTGGTGTAAATTTGGAACAATTTCAGTATAGTAGCAAAGTTGGACTTTGATCCTGCTTAGTCAGCAAGACAATTTAAATATCCACCACTAAAGCAACTGGAATATAAACAAAAGATTATAAAAATGGAAGGAAATTTCACATTAAAGAAAAATCCAAATAGTATCCTTGGGAGGAGTGCCATTTAAGTTAGAGGGAGCAGATGTATCCATAAAGGGGTTTTGTTTTTAATTATAAAGCTATAATGGCATGTTTCAGAAGCTCCAAGAGTAATTATTGCCATTTCACATCTTGGATACTTGCTGTTTTTTCAGTAGCTGAAATTTACTTATGTGCAAATTTTGCTCCACAGTAATCCTTATGTCAACTCACCAATTTACCAACCCACTGTTGACCAAGAGCCAGATGTGCTCATTTTGAATTATTCTGGACCCAACGCACTCTGTTGCATCAAAGAATTTAGCATTTATGCTCTGGTGTATTTTCCTCAATTAACATTACAGCTTGTGGTACAGCTATAGCCAAAGAGTATAAGTGAGAAAGATCAGAGCTTAGCTGCACAACTGAGAAATGCTAAAGACAGTTCTGTAATCTCACAGAAAGCTTTCTAAAACACAGCTTTCTTCATATGCTCTGACAAGAGACATGGAGTCAACAGATATTGGCCCCTCCCTCTGGAACAGCAATTATTTACCATGAATAAGTCTGCTGTAAAAGTCTCTTGTCATCAGCAATTACATGCCATGTTTTTATTGATAGCTTCTCCTCTTCCTGGAAGTGGGATGGAATGAGTCAGGCTTCTTATGGCTTGTGAATAGGTCTTAGACATACACAGTACTACGGGTTATTGTTTAATCCATCCAGGGATAACATGTGGGCTTTCTATGACAGGGAAGAGCCAGGGCTTGACAGCAGGTGAGCTCTCACACAGACATGAAAGAGACTAAAGGTGGAGCTAACAGGAACTGCAATAGTGACTCATAATATGGAAGAAAAGATTAAGTTTGCAGACCAAAATTGACGGATCTTAGATCTGTAAAAGGAAGAAATCCATATATAAAGTTGGAAGATGGTTTGCTGTCACGTATTTTAAGTAGTGTGGCTTGATAGTGTAAATTAGTTAAAATCCATGTCCTGAAAACGTCAGATTATACACACTACATACTCAGCAAATCTTGTCACTGTCTACTTTTCCTCCATCTGATGCAAAGCCTTAAAAAATATGTATATGCTGAAATGCACAGACATATTTTAAAACCTACCCAGAATTTGCTACCAAACAAGGGTCAGAGCCTGGAAAGAAAACCTTGGCAGGTTTTCTTAATCTGCTTTGATGCTTTTGTATCTCCCAAATCCATTAGGGACTTCAGTGACAGGACAAGGGGTAACGGGTTAAAACTTAAACAGGGGAAGTTTAGATTGGATATAAGGAAGAAATTCTTTCCTGTTAGGGTGGTGAGGCACTGGAATGGGTTGCCCAGGGAAGCTGTGAATGCTCCATCCCTGGTGGTGTTCAAGGCCAGGTTGGACAAAGCCTTGGGTGCCATGGTTTAGTGTGAGGTGTCCCTGCCCACGGCAGAGGGGTTGGAACATGATGATCTTAAGGTCCTTTCCAACCCTAACTATTCTATGACTCTATGATTCACAAAGAAATGACTAACACAGTATGCCTGCGTAACCCTTACCCTGAACATCTCTGCTGGAAAGAGGTGCCCCAGAACTCCTGAAGTAGCAGCTTAAGACACTTCATTTGGTTCTCTTCACAAATGATACAAGAACACAAGACAGTATGTCATCTCCAGCACGTATTATTCTGGAGAGATATATTAAATATGAGCTGCTTATGAATTATTTTATCTCCCATCTGAGTTAAGTATAGCCATTCTTCTTTACTTTCTTATGAACAGCAACAAAGATAAGGAAAGATGAGCAACTAATACTCTGAGCAGCAAAACCAACTTTGCCTTTTGTGAGTTTATGCATCATGCTTGATTTACCCAGCTCCCTCACATCTCCACAAGGCTTTACAATTCCTCAGTCTCTAGCTGTCTCATTCTTTCTTCTTTTTCCTAAACTCTCACCCCATTCCATGTATACCAACAGATTCTTTTTTAGCTCGCTGAGTGGCACATACTCTGTTTCAGTTTGCAGCCTGACGTACCTTGCCTGGTTAGCTGGCTGCTACTCCCTGATTATTGGAGGAGCATTGCCTCTAAATTAATGGCAAGCAAAGCAAATAGCTTTGGAGGCTGTAGGTGTCTGAACAAGGTCAATGTAGACCATCTCAGGACCTCAGATCTATGCCTTCTTGTCACATGCGGCTGAAATGGGGACACACACATAGAAGTTAAAGGTGGGCAGGAGGATAGAAAGGGATGAGGAACAAATAGCAGTGATCAGGAAGCTAAAGGAAAAGATTGCATAAGATGCAAAAAAAATAACAGTTCTTGCTCAGAACTTCACATATAGCACCTGATTCCCCAGTAATATAAACATACAGAGGCACATATTAAAATAGGATGAAAAGGAAAACATTTCTTGGTATTTCTTTTCCTGTATTCATTCTTTTTCATGATTCTCCACAATTTAAAATTGCTAAATGGAAAGTAACCTCCTCCCACCCTTTCCATCTGAAGACTTTCAGGCAAGTACTTGAATATAACCTCAAATCTCTTGCACTTGAGTCACAAAGGTAGGACTTGCGTATATCCTGAAAGGTACATTTATAAGTAAAACGTCATTCTCTAAGTTAGGATGACAAGGTCAGTGCTTCCCTGAATTAACACTTTGGTCAGATAGTGGAAAACTTGAAGCCCAGTAAAAGAAATAATTAGTTCTAAAAGAAAAGCAGTGACAGGTATCTGAAGTCTACTGAAAATTTGCCATTGACTTCCATGTAGTACAATGTTTACAAATTCACATTCAGATGTTTTTTTTTCAGAGAGAATTATAGAGATAATACATTTTCTTTACTCTTACATACTTGATAAGGGTTTTCAACTGAAGTTACAATCAAATCCAACAGACAAGCTAGCTTATAAAAGGCTCTAATTTTATACACTTTCAGAACTGTGAATTCTGACTGAATGCCAGATGCTAAATTAGTCAGAATGCCTCTTTATGATTGCCGATTGAACCAGAGATCTGTTCAAAATGGTTTGAAGCTCTCATCTGCACACTGGCTGCTCATTCGATTCCATACCAGCACTGTATTACGAAAATTTACAACAGTTTTCTATTTACTACAATTCCAGCAGCATTATATTGCTCGCTCCTGAACTCTATCAGAAATTAACACCCACTTGTGCTATTAAACTTTAAGGATAGAAACATTATCTTGCCTTAACGTCAGTAAAATTAAATAATACACAAAGAAACGACACGTTATTTGGATACTGATTTTAAACAGTTTAATATTTTCTTGCAGAGCTAGAAGGGCTGTGTGTTGGTTTAAAGTATTTTGGTGCATGCAGGGAACACTGAATAATACAAAAACAAATTATCTTACTAGTGCTGCAGCACTGGCTGAGGGTAACTGAGAAGCCTGGCAGGACAGAGAGGCAGAGATTTAACTGTGCCCAAAGCTTTTATTACAACAGAATAATTGCATATTTGAACTAATTTGAAATAATCTTTGAAAGAGGCTTCCTGCACATAAACCAAATAAATAACAAGGCCTCCCATCCCTTACATCTATTATCTGTAACGGTAGAGAAAGGGTCATCTAAAGATTAATAAACACTTTTAAAACAGTAAAGTCCAAAAATACTCATATGAAAAGAGTTTTATCATGCATTTTATAAATGGGAAAACTGTAAAACATCATCTTACTGTAGACTGCATAAAACATAGGCAGCCATTGTTGAACACTTACCCTAAAGTGACTTTTCTAAGAATACAGTAAGGGAGAGCCAAGAATAAAAAGAAGCAGGAAATCCATCAGTCCAAAATGACAGAATTAAAGAAAAATGTTAACATTGCCGCCCAAAATTTTAAGTTCTGACAAAAATACTTGGAAAGCATCAAACCAAAAGAATTAATTTTGGTTGAAGAAGAAGCTTACTGGAAGGAAAAGAAAAAAATTGTTTCAGCAATGCTCAAGCATCTAAATTATGGGATTTTTTTAAATTAGAAAAATCTAAGTACTCGCTATTTCCTCTAATTGGTAGCGTCCACCAAAATAGCTGGTGGCTGATATTCTAAAACTGTATAAACTAAATCCCAGAGTGTGCACTCAGAGGGCATAAACAGCATATTACTGGGGATTTTCACTGGGAACTTGTGCTGTGCAAACACATATTCTGCAAGGAATTTCTGAATTCTTTCTATCTCCACTAGAAGGCTATCACAGAAGCTATCATTGCCCATTTTACTACACCTAAAATGCCACAATTCTCCATTTCTGAAACTGAGTCTCAAACTGTTCACTTCAAAGCAAAACAAGAGGAAACAAAGCAATGTATTTTCTTCACCTGAATTGGCCAGAGGAGCATCAGGAAGTGCTTCATCCCCTCCCAAGACCAGGTACTGCTTTCTTGGTTGCAGCTTACACAAAGAACCATGACAGTCTGAGGCAGTAAGCATGTGAAATTTTTTGTCCATGGCCTACAAAACATGATCTGTTTATCAACATTAACAATGGAAACAATTGTGTAATCTTACCTTAAAAAAAAAAGGCACTTTCCTCAAAGTTAACAATGAGCAAATGAGGGGTTTTGCTTTTGGAGGGTCTGTAACTTGTGGAAATCTTAATGTTCAGCCTTTAAATAGAATTAGAAAAATGAATACAGTAACAGAAAGAAACCCTCTTTCAGTGCTTTGGTAATAAGTGGTGTAGTGAAGTAAAGGAATTTGTTCTATGTATTTAACAGCTTCTAATTCAATCTATTTCTGTTTTCTCTGTTCTGTAAATGCAGATTGCTGGGTGGTGCAAAAGGGAGTTAATTAGCTACAAATACCAAACAGTACCCAAATAAAAAGGATCATTATTAACATACAGTGAACAGCTGTGCCATTTGAGAAACTGCTTTTGTTTCTAACAGTGCTTCTATCCAAACATTTTCTAGGTTGGAGAAAGCTTTTCTCTTGACACGACTCCTTTCCCTGAAAAACAAATCTGTTCTATGCATGAAGAGCTACAGAAGGTCAAAGAAGAAACTAGCTATATTTTTCTAAGGCAAGAATTGAGTTTATATTAGATTGCACTAATAATTTATTCAAAACCAACAACAAAAGTAGTGCTATAATTGAGGGAGTTAGTGTAGGAAGTGATGCTTAGATTGTGATAGGGACTACAAATGTTGCTGGATGCCTTTTCACTTATTATTAACACAATTTTAAAAACATGACTTTATTTACCTCACCCACAAAATACAGAGGCTATTGAAAAGTATCAGATCAATGACTGCAGAGGGTAAGACTGTCACGCTTCCTCTGTGGAAACGCTGTGAGCTTGAATCAGAAGAGACTTTATGAAAAAGCAGATCCTGAGTATTAAGGAATATCACATACCAGCCTATCCTCTATTTTCAGAAGTGATTGATCATGTAGAAATCTGATGCTAACCTGAAATTAATAAAATACCAACTGTCCCATCCATAAAAAGTGGAAGCTTAACTCAACATAAAAGGAGCTATCAGAGCTTTAATTTCCTATGCTCACTGATATCCTTGACTCCTGAAACTTTCATCATGGATATCGTACTAATGAAATCCAGCTTACACTACTGAAATTGCATCTCAAATCCACACATTAAGAAATCACACAAACAGATTTCAAAATACCCTGGAGTCATAGATCCCACTGGCTGCCACATGTTTGGAGTCATAATCACTCTGCCCATTTCAAATCCACCACCAGTATCAAAACTTACTGAAGATTAAATTCAATCCTATTTAAGAAACTGCTTGACCACTGGCTTTTTGTGGTTTAGGCATAAAACTATCTGGAACTGAATGGAACACTGCAGATTGTCTCACCAAATAGGGACCATATTTTCCAGTCTTTCAGCTACAGCTACTGGCCTGAACTCTGAAACCAAGATGCAGAAACTTCTCTATTGTACAGCCACATTTCTATGACATCTAGTCCTAACCTCTTCTGTCTTTGGTACTAAACTGACTTTGTGCATGAGCCCAGTGAATTCTGAATAAAGGGTTGTTAATTTAAAGCTACAATTTCAGCAGAGAATATAGTGATTCACCTGCACTATTCTGTTGACCTGAGCAGATTGTCCATACTCACAGTGCAATCAACACATATCCATAATCATTGATATGCTAGGCAATGCTTCTCTAATCCACAGAAAAGATCCTGCGAGACTGTGTGGGGCTTTGCTGCCAGCTAAAGATTCAAACAAAAAGTCATCAGATTCACGTGGATTTCAGCTGTCATTACAGGTCCTAAATCTGCGACTTATTCATATGGGAGTTTCCTAATTTTTTTTGTCCCAGACTGATCATTTTCAAGGTACGTGAATTACTTTCAGACAAGGAAGGCCCTTGTTGCAGGATTTTTCTCTAGCCAAATTTGGTGTTAGACTTCTTAAAGTATCCTTAAGTTACATGATTACAAATGTACAAAATTGAACCCGTTATACATTATCTCCCCCTGGTATTTGTAGCAAGAGTATATGTGAACATGAGAATGTCAACAGAATGTCAGTGTAATGGAGATCTCACTTATTAGTAAAATAAATAAAGAATGAAGACATTATTGATGCCTGTTTTAATGGACACTTGACAATTTTTTCATTGATGGAGAAAAGATTTCATCAGTCCACCAGTATTCACAGGATTTACCCACACAGCTCTCCCGTGTGAGACTGAGAGAATTTACCCTTGAGAAATGATATGGTAAAGGTTAATATCATCCATATGTGGGATTTTATTGTAATGCCTTTACAAAAACAAACCGTGGATGTCAAACCAACCAACCAGGAACTGCAAAAACAACACCTCCAGTTTCCCCTTCTAGACATTTGCTTTCCTGCAAAAAATTGCCATCCAGGTAGTGGAAAAAATTGCTCTAAGGAAGCATGTCAAACTTCAACCCCCCTAAACTGTAATACTGTAAAGGAAAACAAACACAGTGCAGCAAACCTGAGGATACAGCATTTTTAAAAGGCTCTTTTGCCAGGGATGCCCTCAAGATTCTCATAATGAAGATGCTTCATTTTTTTTTCCATTTTTTGTCCCATATTTTTCCAGTTATTACATTATATCTGTATGAAACATCACAATATTAGGACTGATTCATGGCTTTCATTTCCCTTTATTGACGTTAACAGCTTTCTAGAGCCCCCAACATGCACAGAATGATTATAGAACTGAATAAGCTGTGATTACACTTATTACTGAAATAATTTCAGATACAACTGAAAATGTTAGTTATGCTTTTGGAAGCGTGCTATGAAGTTAGCCCTTTCTTAGGCTGGCATTGATTTTTGAAACCTAGCAGAAGAATATCTGTAATAAATGACCTTTCTCTTTTCAGGTTCAAGCCTGAACCAGAAAATATTCAAGGCATGGTTATGAGGTTCGCCTTTTAATTCAGATGTTTAATTAGTCATGACAGTGCTACTCAACTTTCAGAACTGGGGACTCAAAATAGAATCCTAAGAATTCCATAGCTCTTTGACTCATTTGGGTATTTTTGCACCACTGATGGAAGGCCCAGGAGCTAGCACTTTGTTGACAATTTGTTATAGGAATGACCGTAGACTCTCAGCCCTCAGACCAAGCGGCATCGGAACTGCAGCGTAGACAGAGAAACATGCGTAGACAGGACGTAAGGAGTCACGAGGAACAACTGCCAAGTAGGTAGATATGTGCTGCTTTTTGACCCCGAACTGCAATTTACTCTTTGGCATTTTGATAGCATGGTAGGTTACGAAGAAAGTAAGAAAGAGAAAGTTTTGCCCAGGGCAAAACCGATTTGAAAGTTCAGAATACAAAAGGAAAACAAAACTTTACTGCCTTTACAATCAATTATTATAGAAGAGAAATGGACAAAAAAGGAAAAAGAAATGACCCTACTGATGGGGAAACACCATAAAAAAGCATAATGATTTCTGTATGACACCGACAAGCATCAGCATTTACAAGTTTGCAGCCAACCTGCAAAGAGTGTTATAGCAAAAGGAATTCTGTGTTTACTTCTGTGTTATGTTTATGGCTTTTACGTTAAGCCATGTTTATATTCACATTGCTGCATTTATGCTTACATTGCTATGTTTATGTTATGTTTCCACCTGACCTGACAGAAGGCAAAGCTATTTCAGCATGAGGACAGCCAAGCACTGGAGCAGGTTGCAGGCAGGACCCTTTCCAGGACAAGCTTTCAGGATGTGGCTCAGTAAAGCAACCAAATCTGGTGTCGTAGCTGATGCTGCCTGAAGCAGGAGGTAGCTCTCCTTCCTGCCCGAATTACCCTATGATTTTGTGTTAAAATATTAAATCCTTGCATTCAGCAAATAAAAGTGATGTCTAAAGATGAAAGGAGAGATAGGAAAACCAGAAAGATTGAAATGCAGACAATTTTTTAAGTAGGAAAAACTCAAGACTGAAGAATGTAAGAATTACTAGATGACACAAACTTAAATCTTTCACATCTCTGTATAAAACTCTGTACACATTTTATAAACCTGGCATTTACATAGCTATAAAAACTGGAGGCGGTCTAAATTAAATTTATTCCTGGAAGGGGATTACATAAAGAAATGACAGATCATAGAATCACAGAATCGTTTGGGTTGGAAAGGACCTTAAGATCACTCAGCTCCAAACCCCCTGCCTCGGGCAGGGATGCCTCACACTAGACTGTGTCACCTATGGCCCTGTCTAACCTGGCCTTGAGCAGTGCCAGAGATGGAGCACTAGTCACTTCTTTGGGCAAGCTGTTCCAGTGCTTCTTCCTTATATCAAACCTGAACTTCCCCTGGTTTAGTTTGAACACACAAAAAAAGAAAAGCCCCGGTGCATCTACTGTACATGTATTTTTTTTCTACAGAAGAACTGAGGAAGGGTCCATTGGCAATACAGGACTAGGTTGCAAAAAAGAACAAGCGGGTAAGTTCCTTCCTATTACTGGAATGGTATAAAAACTAACCATTTTTAATATCACTCAGCATCTCTGCTGAACAAAATGAATATGAAATTTATAACAACATGATACAAATTTCCCTAACGACAGCAACTTATGTTCCTTCCTTTTGGGACTGGAGAAATTCAGATGTGTCTCAAAAGCCATTTCACAGAAATTTTTCCAGCCCTTTGGGAAATGTAAACTGCATTGGAAACGCAATGTACTTATTAGAAATGCGTGTCTTACGAGAAAACATAGGGGGAAATACAGGTTATCACATGAAGAGATGCTCTAATGATCCTCTGAGCATGAGAGTTGCTTCTACTGCATAGTTCCATTACCGCAACACATATGGATTACTAACAAACGGATAGTGCTGTGGAAAATTAGATCTTAGATAGTTTAAGAAGGGCATTTGGATAACGATATATCAAGTGGGATGAACTGATCTCATTATAAAATAGCTGCCTATTTAATTAGCTGTGTTCTGAACATTTGGTGTACTTGTATCTTAGGTAATATACTCTGTAGACTCAAAATTACCTTGGTTTTAAATAACACACATGGGCTAAAACATTCTTTGCTTATCTGTGGATCACAGAGATCCTTAGTACAAGAGTTCCTGTGAAGTAAACTTAAGGATTCACACTATTTCTTTCTTCCTTACTAACCTAATGCAAGAAAATACCCAACATCATAATT